AGCCATCTTCCAAATTAAATATATTAAATCTGAAAGATAAAAATTAATAAAATGTATGCAATGTATACAATATACATATCAACGAGAAAAAGAATAGATATACGTACATTATGCAACAATGGTAGAAGTACAAATAATGTATCAGAAATGTTGAATTTTACATATTTTATTTTCAGAGAAGTTAAAAGCCAGGCCGATAAATGTTCATATCCTGTCGATTTATATATTCCTAACAAGGAGGAATTACATGGTTCGGTATATAAATCACTTAAATTGATAAATTTTCGACCAATAATGAAAAGATCATTAGCAACATTACTGACAATATTTTCTATGATAACAATCGAACCATCGTTTAAACCACAGCAGTTATTTGGATTATGAATAGATAGGGTAAAATCTGCTCTTGAAAATGTTGAATATCGAGGACCATTTATTCCAGGCAACACTGGGCCCGCATTGTGTATTCCATGTACACCCATTTCTCTATATTTTTTTTTCAAACGATAAGCAATGTTCCAATTCTGTCAAACGATTGTGAAGTTGTTGTAAAGGACGTTCAGCTTTTCTAAGATATTGTTTTATTTTTGAATTTTATTGCTGAATGTATCCAGGGGTCCAAATTTTCTAACATCTTCTGCTAAATGAATAATAGCATGTATATTGTAAGATGCATAATGTGATCCATATAAGATTATAAATGACTGTACAAAGTGTTGTAGTAAAGACTCCGCATAAGTAATATGTAAAAGATCTGGAGAACACAATAGCCGAATGGCTACATGTAATGTTAAAAAATTATTGTAGACATCTTTTTTCATATAATTTTTCAAAACAATGGGACACATATATAAAAGAAAAAGTCTGAATTCTGTGGCTTTCCATAAGCTCAAAAAATTTAATTCCTGTGGTCTACGCGCAAATTCTACGGGTATCGATGATCGCATTTCAATAGACAATCTGGAAATACTGCTTATTGATTGTGCCGGCAGTCGAACATTTAATGGTCCGGATAACCAAAAATTCAAAATTTTCTTGACCACACCAATGCAAACCAAGTGCATATAATCCAATGGGATGTGACTTATCATTCCAAAATTCGGTATATCTGATAAAATACTTGATCCAGTGTGATGTTCTATCTGTCTTTGTATAAGGAAACTTTCATTTGTCCGACTAGTACAATTTATATCTGGAAAATACATTCTCCCACTAATATATTCACCTTCAGTTGTACATTTTGGACAACTAAAGTAACCGGTATGTCCTTTTGTGGCAGTTACAAAAGATTTTGCGGGTGCATCAGCAATTAATGAATCTATGGATACACGTATAGATTTTCCTTTATACTCAAGTCCTTCAGCTAGAATTTTTGCTTCATCCACAAAATCACGCAAAAATTCATTACAATCATACGGTTTCTTGGAACCATAGTAACAACCTATGATAAAAATATCAGAAAGGTTGGGTCTCACTGAGCCTAAAATAGGCCACAATTGATTAGTAGAGGATTTTGAAATTGGCAATCCATCTATACTGATTTGCACTGAAACTGAATCAACGTCATCTTGACTTTTCTGTAGAAACTGCATTATTCCTGATCTTAAGCCATTATGAAAGTATTCACCTGGTGTAACTCTCCGTACATTAGTATATTTTGGTGTTTCCAGCATTGTTTTAGAATTTTTTGGCAAGTTATCAAAGCCATGGTTTCTTAAAATTGACAATAATGCAGTAACTGCTGTATGTGATATTTGAAATTGTACTGCCCAGTTTGTTAAATCTTGCCTAATTGTTGCAGCTGTGGACGAACTTGTACAGTCAGCATTTTTCTTGTTATTAAAAGTGAATGCAATCGGACATAAATCCTCCAAATTTAAATTACTATTATAATCAAGATTATATGCAATATTTTCATTGTCAGGAACATTACAATATTGTCGTGGTGGTTCATTTCTTAGTGCAACATTTGTTGCCTGATCAAGCTCGTAATTGACATCAGTAATTACGTGTTCAATAATATCGCTTGAATTTTGTACATCGTGTACCTTAGCAAAATCCGTCGACAATTTATTCATATTTTTGGCAATTGTGATATTACGTGCATTGCATTTTAATCGATGATAATATCTTTTTGACATCTCTGACAGTAATTTTCGTTTTGGCATGATTGATATTTTGGTATATCCTACAAAAATATTATAACTATTTTTTTCTGTTGTGTATAGATATTTAAATATTTTTTTAAAGTTAATTATATTACTTTTATAATAAATAATAAAACAATTTATGTTCTAAACACAAAACATAATGTGCACTTATAACACACATCTTTGTAAAACAATAAAGATAAATCTTTACTGTAAAGTTATTAATAAAAAACAAATATATTTTAATCGCAAATAGTAAAAAAATGGGCTGCTTTCGCGAAAAATCAAAATGAGATTCAATCTCATTGAAATTTTATTCAATGAAATTTCAGATTTGACCAATCACAGCGTAGGGTCATTTTAATCTGGATCATTTTGATTTTTCGCGAAAGCAGCCCTGATTAGAACCTTAATATACTTACAAGGGAATTGTCGGAAAATGTCCCTCATTGATTTTGATGCGATTTGGATATGTTGTAGATGATCGAAAAATATTAGACCCATAATTTTTTTAGCTGTGTATCTCAATATCTAGAGGTTGAAACAACCCTTCGAAAATAACGAATTTTTCGTTTTTAGCAAATATCTTCGAAAATATAAATATATAAAAAAATGTTTTATGCAAAACTTTTATGGTATTTTATACTTTTTACAATGGTGTAATCACATTTTTCGAAAATATCAAACTTTTTAATTTAGCCCCATCCATTTTTTTTGCAAAATTTAAAAATTTTATTAGAACAAAAATTTAAAAGCATTGAATGCCAAATCTATTCATGTAAATTAATAGTATGTTTCCACGATTTAATTTTTGTGAAAACGAGATAATATCGTTCCTATAGGTGCTGTAGTTAGATGTTGCGTTATTTTTTTCAGTTGCGCTAACATGTTACATGACAATCCCATAAAATAAAACCTCACAAAGACTTATAGAAATATTAGGTATGATAGATTTTCTCAAAAAATTAAAATGCATTTTATTTTTATTAAGAAAAATCTAATTTTCAAAATATGTTTAATTTTGTATTGTATGTGATATATAAAATTACACTATTATATTCCAAATAAATATTTTGTATGATATACCAGGTGTATAAATATGAAACCGGAATTTTTGTATAGAAAATACACGTTTATTGTATGAAAATGATAAAAAATATTTTATTCGAAGTATTGCCCATTGCTAGCTATACATTTTTACCATCTCTCTGACAATTTGTGGATGCCACGCCAAAAAAACTGTTGCTCCTTTGAGGCAAACCAGTCATCGAGCCATTTTCGTACATTTTCGTAAGAAGTGAAGTGCTGCTCAGCAAGTGCGTGTCCCATCAATGCAAATAAGATGCGATTCTGCAGCAGTTTTCTTCAAATTGTAACAGAAAATCAATGCTGTCCGCAAATCGTAGTTTCCAGGCACAAAATTCGACATGTTCAACGCTATTAAAAACTATGCTGTTGTATGAAACTTGTATTGTTGTGAGTTGAAAATCTTTATCAGATGTCAAAACAAGAAAATGGCGCCAATGACGCGGTTTGACGGTAACTACATTGACAGCTAGGGCCATCTATGGGCAAATTCCGGTTTCATATTTATATACCTGGTACATATATAATTGTGCTGTTATGTTATATGTATACATTATTTTTTAGAAAATATATTATTTTTTAGAGGTACATTATTTTTTTGAAAGATATTTTTTATGTACATGACATATTTGTTTATCTTTGTGAAGTTTTGTTTAATAGGATCATGTCATATAACATATGTCACACAGGGCAACTAAAAAGAAATAACATAACACCTACCTATAGCGCGGCGCCTATATAGTACTATGATATTATCGTTTTCACAAAAATTAAATCGTTGAAACATAATATTAATATACATGGTTGGATTTGGCATTTGATATTCTGCAATTTTTTTTATAAAATTTTAAAATTTTGCAAAAATTATATGGGTGGGAGGGAGAGGTAAATCATAAAATTTGACATTTTCGAAAAATTGTGAATACATCATTATAAAAAGTATAATAAATATACCATAAAACTTTTGTGCAAAAGATTTTTTCATATACTTAATATTTTCGAAAATATTTGCTAAAAATAAAAAAATCTGTTATTTTCAAGAAGTTGTTTCAACCCCTAAACGTTGAGATACGCAACTAAAGAAAAATATGGATCTAATATTTTTGGATTTTCTACAACATATTTAAAGTACATCAAAATTGGTAAGGGACACTTCCGACTGTTCTCTTATTAGACAAATCTGATAACCTTAAAAATATGACTTTAACACAATTTCAGAAATATTAATATTAAATTAACATTAAAATTTAAATAATTATAAAATAAAATAAAAAGATACCGTATACTTTTTCAATTAAAATGTAGAAAGTAGAGAAAATGTATATTACATCAACAAAATTGTAATATGTATAATTGCTATACGATTATTTAACGATTATTTAACACGTATCACTTCTGTCACCACATCAGACATAGTGTAGTACAATGAGATAAGAACATCATGCATTTTATGTAAAAGTGATTGTATTAATGAATGTATATAAATACACTCAAATTAGAAATAATAAAGGACTATATACCATTTCAAAACTAAAAACACTAAACAACTCTTAACAAATTTTACCACTACATCAAAAATTGGAGTTTCATAAAAAAAACATTCATAAAATAAGTTTTTGTAATATTAAGTCTAAGCATCAACCATATTATATATTTCATTAAAAATATATTGCGGCAAAACAGTAATAACACGGTGGTACACAAAATTCTCTTCCAAGTGTGATAGTACGTTTCTTGAGGATTTTTTCGCGCTGAACACAATGCCGTCGTCAGAATTTGCCTAGCAACGTCAGGATTTTGAGTAAACTGATATGAAAGGGGCAAAAAATGGCGTTTTTAGTCATTTTTAACATTTTATTGCAGCTAAAAGAAAACTAATTTCTAAATATACTCAATGGCAGCTAAAAATATAATTCAAGAGCTTTCAAATGAATTTTGGTTCATGATCGTAAGATTCTTTTTATCAAGTTATACCTAAATTGAATTTTAGACATTCTGTATAATTTACAAGAAAGGTAAATACATACTTAGAAGCAAATAAAAAATAATTGTGATATAAATTTATTTTTAAAGAA